AAATGAGTGACAATAATAAGACACCCGAAAAAAATACAGAAGCCTATCAAATGGACGAGGTAATTTTAATTTATTTTTTTAAAAAAAATATTTATAAAAAACAAAAATTTTAACATATTAGAGCATGCTAATTTTAAAAATAAAAAATAAAATAAATAATAATTTTACTAAATAAAATTTGCTAGATTAAAATTTTGAACATTTGATTTATAATAATTATAAACAACAACAATATTATATTATATATCAATATATATTAATTTGATTTTTTTATTAGCATAGTTCAATTTGTTAACTATAATATTACTAATAATAATAAGTTTTTAAATATATTTTACAATTATTTGTTATTTAATATATATATAAATTACCATGAGGATAAAGTTACCAAAAAAATAATAATAACAAATTAATAACACCAACAATAATTTAAAAAAAAACAATAATAAAATAAAATAATACTATTAATATATAAACTGCACGATTGTTCAATTTTGTACAGTAGTTTAAAAATTAATTAAATGCTAAACTAATACAGTGTATGTGTGTGTGTGTGTGTGTGTGTGTGTGTGTGTGTGTGTGTGTGTGTGTGTGTGTGTGTGTGTGTGTGTGTATGTACTGTATATTATATATCATATATTATGTTGTTGATGTATAGGTATAATAAATTGCACTGGTATAATATAAATGTAACTTTATATATATATAATTAAATTTTATTGCCATATAATATATATATATATATATATATTATTTATTTATTTTTACTTTGTGTGTGTGTGTGTGTGTTAATCCCTATTACTTACTATTAACAAAAACAAAAAATCACATAGATTAATTTAGTGTACTTAAGTATGTTTAACTTTATATAAATGTGATTTTAGTTTTTTTGTATATATTTATTTTATTTATATATATATACATGTATGATACAAAACAATAAATTAATCCATGTATATATTGATTTATATATTTTATATAAAGTTAACTATATTTTAAAAAAAATAAAATAAATAGAGTCTAGCTAATTTTAGTTTTGGTAATTAAATTCAAATAAATTATTATATACTATATATATATATATAATATTGTTTGTTTAGTTAGAAAATTTTTTTTACTAATATTTACATTGTATAAAGTACTCAATAAAAATTAATATTAATAATTATTATGGAAATTATTTATTTTTTTATTTAAAAAAAATTATTTTTATGGAAAATAATATATAATACAATTTACAACATAATTGTTTATAATTTACTGGATTTATATTTATCGCCTCATTTAACGTTTAGTTTATTGAAAAATCACTATTTTGTTGTTGTTGTTGTCATTGTTGTCGATATTGATTAATCAAAAATAATACAATAAAACTATACAAACAATAAACTGTATAATCTATGTCTAACACAAAAATAAAAAAACTGTCAAAACAAAACATTTATCATCAAAACTAGTTATATAGTTAGCCATAACTATATATATACACACACATACACATACATACACACACACACATACATACATAAATACACATACACACACACACATACACACAAATATATATACATACATAAAAAAATAATAGTCAATTTTACTGGTATTTTATTAAACATTAATACAAGTAATTTAGGTAGAGATATAATAAAACTGTTAGTTTTAACTCCAGGTACCAACTCATGTGTGTGTGTGTGTTAACTACTATACTATATACTGTATATATATATATAGTTATATTACCTCATTAATAAAAAAAAATAACAAACAGTAGTTTATATCCCTGAGCTGACCCTATTGACCCCCCATCACATCAGTTTCAGATAGCGTGTATGTATGTGTTTATAACATCATAAGCGGCGCACAGTTAGTTTTTTTTATAGCACCAGTGCACTAACTAACTAACAAACAAACAAAAAGGCACACTTATAGCATAATACTGTAATTAATTTTGAAATAAATTTATTTATTTTTGTATTACCAAAAAAAATAAATATTAATATAGATGACCAAAAAGGAAGAGGAGGCCAATGAGGACACACCGTTAAAACCGACAGACAATGATGTAGAAGCCGGTGCAGGTGCTGGTGATGCCGATGGACAGACAGATATTGGCGATATTAAGGACAACGAAAAGTCAGTTATGGCCGGAGGCGGCGGCGGCGATGAAAAGTTAGCCACTGATGGTGGAGGAGTAGGTGGTGGTGGAAAACAGTCGACATCGGCACTGTTAGATCAGCGTAAAGTTAAATTGATTTTGGCCATACTCGGTGCCGTACTACTGGTCCTACTACTACTCATTGTGGCCATACTTGTTATCATCTATAGGGATGGGGTGAGTTGTTTTTTGATTTATTTTTTTTTTGGTACCGTTTCCTTTATTGGGATATATATATACAGTATATACAATATATTTTACTGTATTATTATTATGGATAGTTGTGTTTTTGTGTGTGTGTGTGTGTAGGAGATGCCTATTATTAATGTATTATTACTAATATATATATATAGTTATATATTATTTTTGTTTAGTTTTTTTTATATGTCTACTATTATCAATGTCTGTTAGTTAGTCTACTATTGTCTATTAGTTTAGTTTTTTTTATTGTTATTTGATTTTATTTGATTTATAATAATAATAGACTAATTTGTTGCATTATATACTGTTAAAACTAAAAATACTAAATATCATATATCAAATATATTAGATAATATAACTTAAATACATTATTTTTGTCAATTTGTATGTATGTATGTGTGTGTTTGTGTGTGTGTCTAGTTTGGTGGGTGTGTCACTAGTTTTTTTTTTTTTTTAATAATAAGTTTAAGTTTTATTTATTTATTTTTTTAAATTTTTCAAACACTAACTTTACTTTGTTTTTTTATATAATAGATACTATATATATATATATATTGATATATTATTATTATATTGTATTGTTCAATAATAAACCATAAAATAATTATATATCAATAATAATCAAACCATATTTATTACAATACAAATATATAATATTGTTTTTCTATTATTATTATTATTATTATTATTATTATTATTATTATTATTATTATTATTATTATTATTATTATTATTATTATTATTATTATTATATTTAATGATATTAAATAATAACTAAATTGCTAATGTATTTTCATTTATTATATATTAGTTCCTATAATTTAAATAAATAAAATCTAATTAAGGCTATAATAGCTAATATTATATTATAGACAAAGTTTGTTTATACAATAAAAATAATAATAATAAGAAAATATTTGTTTAAAAATAACTGTTTCAAAATGTTTTTTTACATTTTTTGTAACAATATAGAGGATTTAACATTTAATTTTATTTTATTTTTTATCTAAAAAAAAGTATATATAATTTTTTATTCATTCATTTATATCTATAATAATATATATTGTGTAATATAAAAGATCAATACAATATTAATAAAAAATTAACTATTTAAAAAATATTAATTTTATTGTATATGAAAACTACTTATATATATATATATATACTGTATTATATTAATATATAATTATTATACATTATATATTAATTTATCATTTACCATATATAGACAATAATTTTATTATATATGCTATTAAACAGTAATAATAATAATAAACTATTGTATAATATAGTACAGTATAATATATTGAATATAATATTATATATATATATATAAATATATATATATAAATATATATATATATAAATATATATATATAAATATATATATATAAATATATATATATATAATATAAAAAAGTATATTGCCACTTTTATGATTAACCCAATCGTATCGTGTCTAGACATACACACAAAAAATTATTTAATTATTTTTGCATATATATATATATATATATACAAACATACAATATTTAAATAAATTATACATGTATTATAATATTAATATTATACAGTGTATAATCAGCACAAAAAAAACAACTATAGTTATATCCGTTTTATATTTATAGCTAAATTTGTTTTTTTTTGTTTGTAATATTTATTATTTTTTTTAGTAGAGTCATATATTTATTTCAATGTAATAGACTATATATTTATATATATATAAAGTATTATCAAATACTGTATTATACTTGTATAATAAGTTAATTTAAGTTATGTTAGCAAAAAAATTCATTAAAAAAATGTTTTTTTTTAGTAATATTATTATTTTATATCATATAATAATAATAATAAAATTGTTACAAAAATAGGTTTATATTTTCGTGTTGATACAAACAAAAATAAAAAAAATAATAAAAAAATTATTTTCCATGTCTAAACGGTAACTTTATTATAGCAGTATATGTTATACACTAAACTATATATTAATAATTTGATTTACTAGAGAAAAAAATTACTTACATAATATTATTTTTTTTTATTTTATTATTATTTAATATAAAAAACAAAATTATCTAATATTTTCCACACATTAACTACCGGTGCTGCCTTATCATCAATATATATATATACATATGTATGTGTGTGTGTGTTTTGTGTGTGTGTGTGTGTGTGTGTGTGTGTGCATGTATGTATGTGTGTGTGTGTGTGTTTGTGTGTATGTATGTATGTGTGTGTGTGTGTGTGTGCATGTATGTATGTATGTATGTATGTGTGTGTGTGTGTGTGTGTGCATGTATGTATGTATGTATGTGTGTGTGTGTGTGTGTGTGTGTGCATGTATGTATGTATGTATGTGTGTGTGTGTGTGTGTGCATGTATGTATGTATGTATGTGTGTGTGTGTACTACTGTATATACAGTATATGACTATATCTATTAATAGTATACTACATACTGTATGTTATTCAATACATATTACTTAATTTAATAATAATAATATTATTTTTTATCATTAAATATATTTTTATTTTCATTGAAAATTGTTAGTAATAAAATGTAATACATTTTTTATTTTTGTTCAATAAAAAACATAATAATAATAATATCAATAATTTACTTAAAGTTAAATAACTGTCCTAATATAATTAATGACATAGTATTAAATTATCGTTATTATTATTATTATTATATTAAAAAAATGTTTTTCGTGTCTACTAAATATCAAATAGATTAGATAATAATAAAAAATAAATTAATGATATAATAATAGATAACAATTAAATATATATATATATTAAATGCATTTTTTGAAAAAAATGTAAAAATAAATTCATTAGAATATTTTCAACAATTTCTAAATAATAAAAATTACTTTTTTTTTTATTTGAGATACTATAAATTGATTATAAATAATTTATGCTAGCTAATTATTTTTTTTAAAATACAAAAATAAAATAAACATTAAAAATTTAATAAAACTATTAACTAATATACTTTATATATATATACGATAAATAGATTAATTAAATTAAATAATTAACTAATTAATTATTTTAAATATAATATCTTTAAAAAACTTCTACAAAATTCTACAAAAAAAAACTAATATATATTTTTGTTGTTAAAAAAATTATTTTATTATTATTATTATTATTATTATTTTCCACAACTGATAAAAACCAAAACAATTAAGATATTAATAAATTAATTTAATTATTAATAATAATAATATTATTATTTTGTTTGTTTTGTTATTTTAGTGGGAAGAGGACAAAACCTACCGATTCATACGTATGATACCCAAACCTAACCGTCCTCAAAATCTCCTGTACTTCCGTCACGGCCAGATACCGTACGAGGGCCGCGTATGGCCCGATCTGGTCGACCAGTTGGACCAATTTGTGCACAACTATAACCCAGATATTAATATGCGTACGAAAAATGTTACCGACTGTTACGGTACGGACAGGTCTATCGGCTCGGGCGCCGGCGCCGCCAATACAGTCACCGACGGCCACCACCACCAGAGGACGACGGCCTGTTTTTTTGATTTGAAAACCATTGCCAAGGAGTGCAGTCGCGGCGACTTTGGCTACTCGATGGGTACGCCCTGTGTGTTCATACAGTTCAACAACATAAGCAATTGGCTACCGGAGCTCTATACCGATGAAGACTATCTACTGGATGAACAATTGCCGGCAACTTTGCGTACACTTAGACCACGGATGGTGTTTCTCGAGTGCAAAGGTATTGTCCGAAAATAAATTTTATTTAATTTAATTTATTTTTGTTGTTGAAAACAATTAAATAACTATTTTTCTTATATATGTCTATAAAATTATTACATATAAAGTTAATTATATACATATATTTTTTAACAAAATTATTTTATTTATTTTATGAAATCTATTAAATTAGATAACTTGTTGTTGTTGTTGTAGTTTTATAATAATAATAGTAAAGTAAACTATTATAAAAAAAATTAAGCCTTTTTATAATTTTAGCAATAAAATAGATTTAATTTACTGATAATAATACTACTAATAATAATAACAATATGTAAATAAACTAAACTTAAATTATAAACAGCTATCTGGCACTTAAAATATTTTTTAATGGTTAATTTAACTAATATTTTAAGTATATATAAACATATATATATATATATATATATATATATATATATATTTTAAACTTATAAAATATTCATAATAACACTAACCGACTCACACTTTTTATATATATATATATTTAGTAAAAAATATTATTTTATAATCACTTAATACCCACTGATTTAATGGTACATAAGGTTATAAATTTACAGTAATACTGTCTATTATTATCAAATATGGTGTTAAACATATATATATAATATTTTAGTTTAGGCTCCTATTATCCAATGGTTGTCATCAAATTTGTTATCATTTGATATATATATATATATATATATATATAGTGTCTAATATACAGTATATATAATATTTTTTAGAAACATAATTTTATAGAAAAGATTTTAAAATACAGTATTGAAACCTAAAAATAGTAATAATTTTTTTTAAAAAAAGTATAAGATCTTAAACTTGTATAATCTTAAAGTACTTATATTTAATAAATTTATATATTGTATATAAAGTATATACACTATATATATATAAGTTTAAAAAATATATAAATTTTATATATACTGTATATATATATATATATTTATTGATCGCTACTTTTAACTGTCAGCTATTATTAAAAGCTGTTAGAGATAAATGCTGTTATAAAAAATATATTTTTTATATATCTATATCTATATATTTAATATATATATATATATACTGTATATATATATATATAAAGCACAGTCACATCAACCAACCAACAAAAAAAAACATACTTGTGCTCAATGTGCTGGTTATATAATACCCAATATGTCAGTAAATTATCATGATCATTTCTCATGAGGGCACAAAAATAGCATTATGATAAATATTTATAATAATAATAATAATAATGATAAATATATAAATAGAAATTTTCAAATATGTTATCCATTATAGTTTAGTTATGAATATATTTAATGTAATAAAATAAAATAAACTAATATTAAGCTATAAAGTACTGTATATATACACTGTATATGAAATAATGTATAATTTTAGATTTAAAAATAATATTAAATTTAAATATTTTAAAATAAAATAAATAAATATTTTACAGTACTGTATGATATTATATATTTAATAAATTATGATATATTTATACAGTAATATTTTTTGATACACATTAATATTATTATTACTATTACTATATTTAATACTATAAATAGATTTTTAAATAAAAATATTTTAGCTTAGATTATGATACAGTATATTACTATACAATATATTTGTTGCTAAGCACTTATATATATATATATATATTGATACATATAATAATAATTTCATACTGTTTATAAATACAGTATAATTTCATATATATATATATATATATATATAATAGTATTATTTTGGAGGGCAGTTAGATTTTATATATATTGTTAATGGTATATATTATATAATATGCTATATATGTGTGTATATCATATATTATATAAATATATTATGACAACCATTAGAATAGATGCTCCCATGTGCCTTATCCAGGTGGCATTAGTGTAGTCAAAAATAAATCGTAATGTTGTATATGAATGGCTAATGCAGTATAATATTTAGTACGTACTAAACATTTTAGTACGTACTAAAATGTCTCTTAAAATAGAGTATACTTTAGTACGTACTGAAATATTTAGTACGTACTGAAATATTTAGTACGTACTAAAATGTTTAGTACGTACTAAATATTATGGTACATTTTTTAACTATATAACTATATAACTATACTGTTAGTTAGTTAGAAAAATAGTATCTATATTACAATAGAATCAAATATGATTTTAATTGATAGTTAATAAACTAATTATTATATAACTTAAGAGTACTCAAATAAAATAATTAAATGATATATTAATCGTATTTTATTGTTGTATTTTTGTTGAACAATGAAATTAAATTTAAACAAAAAATTTCATATTAATTAATTAAATGTAATATTATATAATTAAATGAATTAATTTTTCTTAGCACTTTTTTTTAATTTTAATACATAAATTTTAATATTTAATTTTATCGGATTTAACTACTTATTAGTTATATTTTCTCTAAGCGATTTCAAATCAATCAAATTTATAGTTAGTTTAAATATTATCGTTAAATAACTCGTCGTCTAATGCCATTTCTTTTGATAAATTGTTGAAATCAATTGTCGAATCATTTGATTTTTGGTAAGCATTTTCTTTGGCAATAAGATCAGAAAAAATGTCTCCGAAAAATCACTTGAAAATTGTGTTGTTTTCTTATTAGTTGTCAAAACTTTAGTGTCTGTTTGATTGGTATTTGGTTTGCCATAAATTCCTAAATCTGAGATTAATATCTGAAAACAACAGACTTGACATTGATAGTAAATTTAAAGGCAAGTAATGCTTAGAACTTGAGATCAGTTGATATGACTTAAATGTATTAACTGATTTTGTATTAAATCCTATATCCGATAAATCAAAATCAACAAAAATGTTTACAATTTTTTTTGTATTGGATATCAAATCAGTTTTTGGTTTCTGTTTCAGTAGAGTTTCATTTTACAGCACTGACTTTGATAATTATCATCACTTTTATCTATCATTTTAGAAATTAAATTAAAACCAATATATTATATTTCTATTATAAATTATTTACTTTTATGACATTTCAATTATAATTACATGACTCACATTACTCATAAGCACATAGTATAATTGTAATAAAGTAATTTTTTATATAAGTTTAAAATAATCTATTACTTTAAATTTAGTATTTTTTTTAACTTAAATTTACTTAAAAAACAATTATCTCAATATACAAATTATATAATATTTAAATATTTTTTCGTTGATATACGTTAGTTAAAATTTAATACTAATATACTTTTTATTTTGTTAGTTTTTTAATTTAATAATAAATAAAATTTATAATTTTTCAAATAAATAAATAAAATTTTATGTTCATATATGTGCTACAAGTTGTTTTATTATTAAAATCATTAAAATTTACAAATATATATAAAATAATGTGTAAAAAACAATATTTATCAATTTATATGCAATAAAATAAATATCATAAAATACATTTTTAAAACAATATTATATTAATATTTGTATCTTATATAAACATTATTTTTTACAATTTTTTTATAAAAATAAACTTAATATGCATTACTCTGAAATTTATATGGTAAAATAATTATAATATATTTTCATCTGTATCTTATATTTGTTACTTTTTGTATAAATAGGATTATTAAATGTATTATTTTTGCATCAATAAATGCTCCAAAAAATTTATAAAATTATTATTAAAATAAAATAAATATTTTAGTAAATATTTATTTTGTTAACTTTATGTTTGCAATAAATAATTGTTTTGTATTGATTATAAGTTTTTGTTTTGTTTAGATAAATGTTTTGATTATAATTGTTCAATAAATTCATTATAAATAATAATGTGTGTATTTATAAGTTTATAATATTTACTAATAGTTTATTTTATGACAATTTTTTTGATAGAACCTTATTAATACATTTCAATGTATATTTAAATATTATTATATATTTTAGTTAATGATAATGTATTCATTTGTATATTTGACTATTTTATTAACAATAATAAATTAATTAATTTTTATATTCATTTAAATATTCAATTATTAATTAATCAAAAATTAATTAGAATATATTAAAATAAATAAAAAATTATTTTAAATCTAAAACATTTTATAAACTTTAAATTAAAATTTTAATTTTTATAATAAAAAATTGATTTTGTAATTCACACATATATATAAATAAATTTATATATCTATTTTTATTTTATAATTTTTCTTATGGTAAATGCTTTGTAAGTTGATTATGATTTATTATTTCTATAAATATTTATAGCTATTTATGTTGGATAGATGTAGATGTAGAGAATTATTTCATTGCATATCTATTTTTCTATAAAAAAATTCTACAAATATTTTTTAAATAAAGTTTAATTAAATAAATTATAAAAATAAACACAAAATATCTAATATCAATTAAACTTTATTATACTCTCAACTAAATGCATATGTATTAAATTAGTTTTGTGATTAATAGTTCATTTTAATGCTTTTCCTTTTATATTTTAGTTTTTAAATAAAATTTGCCTATTATTAGATTATATTATATGTGAAACAAATACAATAAAAGTATTGATCAATAATCATTATTAATGCAATAATGCACTATAATATATCTACTATATTTTAATACGGCTAAACTTTTTTTTAATAAAAATTGACCCTATAATAAAATTAACATTAAATTGAATAATTAAATACATAAACATTTTTATGCATTAAATTTAGTTATGATTCATTAAAATTTATATCATACAATATCAATGAGAAATAACATAAATTTCAATAAATATTAAATTATAAATATATAAATTAATTATTTACTAAATTAAAGTTATATATTAAATAATTATTTTAAAATTTTTACAATATTAAAAACAATTTCAATAAAATTACTAATATTATTTAATGCTAAAAATAACTAAATAAAATATAAAATTATTATTATAATACTAAAAATGGTTTTAAAAAAATTATATATAATTAAACATGTATAACACAACTTTAATCAATGCTAACAAATAATACAAAATTTAAATACAAAACAGATCTTATAATTCATGTATATTTGTTAAAAGAGTGTTATATAATATTATTTAAACATTCAATAAAATGAATATAATAAAATTACTATTGTAACTTATTTAGTTGTAATATATATAAAGTATAAAAATTCTAAAACATTTTACTGCATAAATGTATTAAAAATTTGCTCAACTGAACCCTATATGAAAACTTACTGTTGTTTTTTATGACTCATTATTTTATTATATCATTAATTCAATTGAAGTTTTTTCAAATAATTATTTATAACAAAATAGAAATAAAAATTATTTTTGTAACTAAAAAATATATAATTAAATTCATAAATCAAAACATATAATCAAATAAATTTGTATACCAAAAATATAAATTACAATTTAGATATAATTTTTTAAATGTTAAAAATAATTCATTACATAAAATATTAAATTAAAAGAAATGATTATTTTTTTGTATTATTTAAAATTTAAATAAAGATTTTAAAATTTATAATCAAGTACTTAGGAAATTATTTTATATATTATTCATTTTGATACTAGTATTAAAAATGATAAAATAAAATTAGAATTATTTAATTGTCTATTTATTTTATTAAAGTAATATAAATATTTTATTATTGATTAAATTGAAAACAATGTTAGCAATTATATAAAACAATTTATAGAAATGTATATCTTTTATAATATCAAAAAATTAGTAATAACAAGTAAACTTTAATCAAACTATATATTTAATTATACAAAATAATTTTTATACAAAATTTGTTAAACATTTATTTGTTAACAAAACAAATAAATGAAATAAAAACTTTTAGAAAAAATTAATCAATTACATTAAATATTATATTAATAATGTTATAAATTTTTAAAATAATAAATATTATTTAATATTTATAAATATTATACATTTAATTATATATAATTAGCAGAAATAAGATACAAATGATAATAAAAATTATGTTTAATTTAATTAAATTATAAAATATATAAATATACCTATTTAAATATGTAAATATTAATTTGTTATTCCTTTAAACATATTTTTGTAAGTGTAAAATCTTTAATAAAATTAATTTATTTAATTTATAAATCTAACTATAATAAGTCTTTTTATATTTAAATTGGTTAAAATTATTATTTTGTTTAGTAGCAAATTTTAGTGCAATTAACATCAAAACTACTAGTAATTATATTATAAATATGAACACATTTTATTTATTTCTTTAAATAAAATATACATAGTATTTTTAATTAAGTTAAAAATTAACAGAAACTGTAACAAAATAAAGTCTAATAAAAATCACTGACAAATATTTATTTTAATTTTTTTAATATTGAAGTTATATTATTTGGATATTAAGCTAGTTTGCTAGTATAATTTTAAGATTTTTAATATAATAATTGTATATAAATTTAAATTATTACGTTATTACAATTATACTGTTTCATATGAGTCATGTTAAATATGTATTATAAATAATGATTTTAGTTGTTAAAAAATACCAGAAACTGTAACAAAATAAAGTTTATTACATATTATATTTAAGTATATCAATGATATATACTAAATATGTCAAATATAAATTAAGAATTAAATAAAAATAATTATGAATATAAAATATGACATTTAAAATTTTATTTAGTTATATTATTTTTGAATCGTCTTATATGGTATAATTAATATTTAGTTAAATCCGATAATATAAAAACAATTTTTTACATATTAAATTAAAATGAAATTTTTTTAAATAAGTTTAATTATAAACGATTAATAATTATTAAATTATAATATATTTTATTATTTTAGTCTAATACAAGTAGAATAATTAAAATTAAATTATTATCAATTATAATTATATTAGAAAGTATTATATAAACTTTTTTCTAATTAACTAACAGCATAGTTATATATTTTTAAAAAGTACCATTGAATAAAAATCCATTGCTCTCCACAACATATATATACATACTGTACTAATAGACTATCTATACGTTAGATATACTGTACTGTATATGTATTGCTTATGTAGCATACATTTTAGTATACAATTGTCTCACTCAACTGTTGTTGTACTTCACTCACTGGTATCAAATTAGATTGAGTTGAGGACATGTTTTGTTGATCAATTGACGGTACAATTGGCTGATGATAACTGTTTTCAGTTGATATGTCTTCAGATATATCTAAATCAACGCCTGTCTATTCGTTATCGTTAGTCACTTCCATGGACTCTTGAGTATCGGTTTCATACATATTTTTGTGACCATTTTTCTGTTGATTTGCAATATGTGTCAAAATATTGACATCTAATTTAAAAATAAAATATTAGTTGTTTCGGTTATTTATATATATATATATATTTAAAAATATAAAAAATACTTACGATCAAAATCACATTTATTTGAATACATATTTAATAAACTAAATTATAACTTTCTAACGGTATAAATAATAAAAAAATTTAATATTATTTAATTATTTTTAACGACATAACAACATCATTGATATCCATTGTTTTTCACAACACATATACATACAACACTATACAATCAATCAATCAAACAGACTATCCATACTATTGATATACAGTACAGTATATGCATTGCTTACGTATCATACATTTTAGTACGTACTAAACATTTAAGTACGTACTAAATATTATACATATCAATCAAACAGACTATCCATACTATTGATATACTGTACAGTATATGCATTGGTTATGCAGCATACATTTTAGTACGTACTAAATATTGCTCTCCACAACGCATACATATATACTGTACAAATAGACTACCTATACATTAGATATACTATACAGTATACCAGCATTACTGTTAATATTCTGTATAGTATATGCATAGCTTATATACAGTAAATGGCTTTTAGTTTATGATAAATTCGCCAGGGTCAGCACCTGACGGAGCATAAAATTTTAATAAAAGTTTATTTTCACAACTCAAATGGGAGCTTCTATTCTAATGACTCAATATTATTATTATTATTATTTTTATTAATATTATTAAACTAAAACAAATCAATATATATGTGAAACTCTAGTGTAGGTGACAACACTACAGAGTATATATATATATATAAAGTAAATTTATATATTAAATATATATAATTTGTTTTTATATTTACAGATTAATTTAATAATGTTTTCAATATAGTGTAGTGATATGCTATGAAACCGTTTAAATTAGATTTATTAGTAAATAAAAATAATTTTAATATAAAAACATTACTAATATATATATATATAATTAATTAATAAAAACATTTATTTTTAATTAAATTAAACCATAAAAATATTAACTTAATCAAAGTTATTAACTTCTATACTAACTATTTTTGTTATTTGTAATATTACTAAAAAATAACTAATTTTATTATTGAAAACAATTTTTTTAATTATTTAATAATATTACTGTAATTATATATTAAATAGTAATTTATAGTAATAATAATAATAATATTAATATTTTTAGCAATAAAATTAAACTATATATACAGTATATTCTCTATAAATATAAAAAAAATAAAAAATTTATAATATATTTATATTTTCAACAAAATTTATTTTTATATCTAAATTATTATTATATATATTTTTTTTGAATATAATTATTATTAAAATACCGTAATTCTATACATTTTTCTCCCCACAAATTCCTTATATTTATATTTATCATCAATAATAGGCAACTCTGTAGTGGACAACGAAAACATGGGCCCAATTGAGTACACGCCTACCCAGGGTTTCGCTACCCATTATTTCCCGTACACYGGCCATCCACACTATATGCCACCGTTTGTGGCCTTACGATTCAAAGCGCCGGCCACATCGGTAGCCATCGGTATTACCTGCAGATTGTATGCCAAAAATCTCGGCCACAACCTAACCGATTCCGATGACTCGGTCGTCGACAGTGGCGGCGGCGGCGGCGGCATCACTGACCGCGGCGGCGGCCAACCGGTGCCATCTCTACCGTTCAATTTGTTTATCGAATAAACGCATCAGTGATGGACAATGTGTTGGACACACCACACATCTCTACATCACTTTAGATAAGTTAGAGATGTGTGTGTGTGTGTGTGTGTGTGTGTGTGTGTGTGTAGTGACAAAATTGATTGATTGATCAAGTACATTTTTAATATATTTATTAATTATTATTATTATTATAATAATTAAAAACTATATGTTTTAACTTTGTGTGTGTTGTTGTTGACGAAACTATTTACGGTCACCCAATAATAATTTATATATTTGTTGACTACCCCCCCATCCCCCACTCGTACTGACTGCCCCTTGAGGAAGGGGGAGGGGGAGGAACTCCATTCAAAATTAATTTGTGTCTATCTATCTATACATGTGTGTAGGTGTGAGTGTGTGTGTGTATAGATTAATTGTAAAGTGACATGGATGAAAATAAATCTAGTATTCTACTAATATTAATTTTTAAAAAAAAATTTAATTAAAAAATTTAATTAAAAATTTTTATATAAATAATAATAATAATAATATTAATAAATTTTTTAGAAGACTAGTCATCTACTTAAACAAACAAACAAACAAACAAACAAACAAAACAATACAAAAAAATCACATTTAATTTATAACAACAATGATTATGTGTGATTTGTGTGTATGTTATTTTAATCAATTATATAATGTGTTATTTTTTTTAATAAAAAATAATAATAATAATAATTTATCAAGATAAAAATAACAACAACAACAACAAATAAAATACAAAGTGATTGGAAATATTTTCATATTATTCAACAACAAAAATAGCATCATTGAAGAAATTTTCTATTGATATATATATATATAAATCATTTATATCATACATAAAACAATAATTAACTTATCAATCAATTATTATTATTAATTTACTATAGCATGTATATTGCTTTTATTTTGTAACTAACAGTTTATATACAATATATATATATATTGATATAATACAGTATAATAATACTAATAATACAGTTTATATATCAATATATTTATATCAAAAGTTATCATGCATATATATCAATATTATTATCAATATAATTATATATACCTGTATTATTGTACATTGATTTATCAATCCAATGTATTAATTATATGTTAATTGCCAAAAAAAACAAAACAAAATTTAACATGGTAAAATCATAGTTAATGTTTGAGTGTGTGTGTATGTGTATGTGTAATAAAATAGTTGAAAAAAACATAAAGTATATAAATAATAATAATATCAATAATATTTAAAATTAATTACCGAACAAAACAAAATTAAAATATATAAATATTTATATAACTGTTTTAAATCTATATTAATTAATAATTTGTATAATTCAATAGTTATGCATATATTTATATATATATATAAATTTTTTATAACATAAACAAAGTTGATTATCTGGTTTTAAGGACCCAAAAAATATATATAATAATTATTTATCTATAGATATATACATATTATATATATAAAATATAAATGTAATATTATTTTTATAATAATATTATATTAATATTATATATCATATATATATATATATATATATAGTGAGATAAACAAAATTTTAGTACAAATGTATTTATGTGTTGTATTTATTATGTGTTATATTTTGTTTGGTATATAAATTTTAAAATCTATTTTTTCATGTTTTGATTTATAAATTTATGTTTTTTTTGTAAATCTTTCAGTGACACTATAAATATAGTAATATGTATACTAAGTAATACTAATATGTTTTAATACTTTATTTTTGTAATTTATATTTGTTTTTTTAAATTAATTATATGCATGATAACATTTTTAAATTAAATATATATATATATATAAACAGTATATAATGTATATTTATGTTTTTAAGTTAAAATTATACATTTAAAAAAATAAGACATAATATTAAGTTTTATTAATATAAAACATTTCCACACAAAAAAATACAATTATATAATGTAAATATCAAAAAAAAATTAATTAATTATTATATTAGAAAATATTATTAATATCTTCCATACATAATATTACATACATATAAAATAATAATTATAAGAAAAATAATATTAAATTAATATTTTTCAGGGAGGATTTGAATCTCATAATGCTAGATTAAAATTTTTTTTATTTATATAGAAAATAAATCCAAGATTTAATATATATATATAATAATAAAAAGTTATCTAGTAGATACTAAAAAAGTCCTATTATTGTAAATATTTTTTTTTAAAAATATATAATTCAATATATAATAGATGATAAAAAAATATACATTACATAAATCACTAAAATTAAAGTATTGTAAAAAACATATATATATATATATTATTCAATGCCTTTAAAGGGGAAGATATTTACCAATATATCAACAAAAAAATTCCCACCCATTTTTAAAATAAAAACATTTTACATAAAAACAAACAAAAAATTTAAAAAAAAAATTCAAAATTTTCTAAATATTATTACTTAAGTATATTCTCTATAGAAATTTTTACAACAAATATAAATAATATATTTAACTAAATGTTTTACATGGAAAAAAATATTATTATTATTATTATTGATTATATATCAATATATTAAAAAATACCATTTTTTATTAATTTCTAAAAAATACACTTTTTTAATACTAATTAATTAAAATTACTTAAAATAAAAAAGTCAACTGAATCCTAGTGTGCTCCTCATCTCTCATAACAAAATAAAATTAAAAAAAAATATCTTAATATATATATATCTATTTTATTTATTAACAAAAATTATCAAGGTATAATAATAATAATAATAAAATAGATATATAATTAAGATATTTTATTAAATATATATATATTTATCATTCCACATTTGTCCATTTAGAAATTATCTAATCTAAACACATATATATATAACAAAAAATAAAATTAAATACATTTATATATAAATATAAGCATAATCTCTATTATTAAATCATTTTTTTAAAAATAAAAAAAATTAAATATTTGTATAATTAAGTAATTTTTATTTAGCATTTGTCATTGTTTAAATAATTATTATACATATATATATAAAAGCAAATTTATTATTTATAACTATTTGTAATTTTTTGTTTTTTATAATATTTGCATTGATTATTATTATTATTTTTTGTGTCTATTATTCGCATGTATAAACAATTTTTATTACAAAATAAATATTATTAAGTTATTATAATTTTTTTATTGTTAATTTTTAGTTAAATTAATTAATTTATTTTATATTATTTTAGTATATATATATATACTAAAATTTTTTTTATTTACATTATTATATTTTACTAAAATTTAGTTGATTTATAATTATTATATTAATCATAATTTGTGATTTTTATTTGCTTAAAATTATTTTTACATTTTTGTTTATTATTATCAAAAAATATATTATACATAATTTTATCATAATATTTAAATATATTACATAAATATTGTCTACTTATTATTATTAATTTAGTTTTTAAAAAAAACTAATAATTCGCATTATTAATGGTAATTGTTTAATTTAAAAAAAATTAGCTTGATACAATATTATTAATTATTAATTTAATAAATTAAAAATCAATAATTTGATCATGCTTAATTTATTTGTGGACAATTTACCTGAAAACAAACAGTCAGATACCGGATAATACTCAATAAAATAATTGTTTTTTTTTGTAAATACAATACTCCTATCAATTTAGTGATATTGTTATTTAAATTCAAAAATACAAACAATTATTATTATCTTAATATAATTATAAATATATATATGATAGCTATTATTTAATGTAATCAATTAATATTTTTTAGTTAAGCATAATTGTAATGTTTTTGTAACTAATTATTTATTATAAAAAAATTGCTAAAAATAAAATGTTAGCATAATTGTAATAGCTGAAAATATTATATATAAAGCATTTTTGTGAAATTTAAGCATAATATGTAAAATAATGATAATTGTAACATTGTAAGCCATATTTATATATATATATATATATATTAAATAATTAAATATATACACATACATAATTATATTAATAATAATAATCATTATTTGTAGTAAAATTAAAAATTAAAATGAATAAATAAAAATAAAATGTTTATTAAAAAAATAAATAAATGGCAAATTATTTAAATTTAATTTAATTTTTAGTTTAAATGGTTTCAACAAAATGGTTATTATATAAAAATTAAATATTTTTGTAATTATTATTATCGCTTATTATATTAATGTTATATTAATACCAATATAATAACTTAAAAATAAAATAAAACAATTATATATTTATTATCAATTATTAAGTATTAATTTAATTATTTTTTAATCAGTATTTCATATTACAAATAGACTCAAAAATTATAAATAATAATATATTAATTTTTTAAAATTGAAATTATCTTTATCAATTTATATAATGTTATTAATAACATTATATATATATATATATACACAGTAAGTATAATAAATAAGGTTTAATATAGTTAGATAATTTAATAACACAATAATATATGTATGTATATATATACAGTAAACTGTATGTTAAATAATAGTTATCTATTATGTATTGTATGTCTAGTTATGATATTATATAACAAATATAACAACAATAATATCAATAATAATATCAAATGAAAAAGTCCTTCGGATTTAATTCAAATTACTTCACTTATTATCTCATATTTTCTATATATATATATATACTGTATATATATATATAGTGTATATACGATATGACTAAATAATATAACTATGTGTAAGCAGCACTGGTAGGTTTGGTGGGCTGTGATATCCTTTAATATATATATATATATATATATATATTTTGCTTATACATCCATTAAAATGGTTAAAATCATGAATTACATACACACTAACACACACCAAGTTGTTAATGATGGTGTCATCAGTCTCTCTCTCTCTCTCTCTCTCTCTCTCTCTCTCTCTCTCTCTCTCTCTMTCTCTATCTCTATCTCTCTCTCATTCATACATTGTGTTTATCTATTGATATTAATTTGTAGTTTTGCGGTGCACTTGGAAAACATACAGTTGTATATTGTTGGTGGCAATGATAGCATAGGATATACTATGTGTGTGTGTGTGTGTGTGTGTGTGTGTGTGTGTGTGTGTGTGTGTGTGTGTGTGTGTKTGTATGTTATCATAGTATTGATTACTAAAATTATATATATATATAATTGATGAAAATAAATGAAAGATATTGTATAGTATAGTATTTGTTGTTAATGTTTGTACGGTTTGTACGTGAATTCAATATGTGATGATTATATAAGTGATGCGACTGTTGTGTTGATATTAGGGGGAAAAAAGACATACAGAGAGAGAGAGAGAGAGAGAGAGAGAGAGAGAGAAATCTAAAAATTTTTAACTATAAGTATACTATAAAATAATTTTTATTTAAATTTTTTTTATCTATCATTTTACATTTTATTTTTGTTCAATTAAAATCCAAATTAAAATCAAAACAAACAAAAAAAATAACTAATTATTACAACATTTATTATGAAATAATAATAAGATTTTAATACAAAAATTGTGTAATTCATAAAAATATTTAATTAAAAACATTTTTTTTCTTTTTGATTATCAAACATTAAAATTAGTTTGTTTTTTAATTTTTAATTATAACTTATATATTTTACACAAATATTAGAAAAAGTACATATAATTTATAATTGTTTTAACAAAATTACTTATTATAAAATATTATTTTTGATAATTAAATTTTATTTTATTTTTTCCTAAATTAGATTAATTTATATTAACAATTCTAAGTATTTTTGCATTTAAAATTATTAAATATAGTATTGTATTAATAATAATAATATAAATACTAAAAATATCAAATTTCAATTGCATAATAATATATTAAATCAAAATATTTTTATTTAAAAAAAAACATTTTTCATAAACAAATAGTTTAAATAATCGTATTATTGATTTATATTATTAAAGTTATATCTTATTAAAACAATTCATTCATTCATGAAATACTGTATATATATATATATATATATATATWTTATATTTATAATAATAATAATAAAATAGTAGACTATTATTAAAATATTTTTTAATAGCATATATGTTAAGACTATAAAATTTTATGATAAAATATTTCTAATAGAATTTAAATCTAAAAATAAATTATATATATATATATATTATATTTATAAAACTGTATAATTTTTAATAAAATAATATATTCAATCATTTAATATTATATAAACTAAAATAATATTAATGCTATTATAAATTATTTTATTATTAATATACTATAATATCTATAAGATTTTAATACTATAATATGATTAGTTATGATTATTATTATTATTATTAGTATTATTATTAATAATAAAAATATATATATATTTCACAATGAAAATTTATTTTTAAAAATGTAAAGTTAAAACTAAATAAAACATTTATACTAATACTAATATTAATTAGTATGATTATAATTAAAATATTTATTATTATTATTAGTATTAGTATTAATATGAAAAAAATTTCAAAATATTTACTTTTATTAAAATAAAACTTGATTTAAAATTTTTATTTAAAAAAATTAAATTAGCTTAATAAAATAAATTTACAATCATCCAAATTGATCATAATTTATTCACACACACACAACAATATTGTATATAAAAATTAAATTAAATTATTAACTGTACACAATTATATACTACAAAAATTTTTAAAAAATATAATACTAATAAAATAGATTAAAATTTTCAACAACAAAAAAATATATAACTAAAAATGTCCGGTTAGTTTACATACCGTTCCCATCGAAAAACTGGCAATTGATGGGAAATATTTTGTTTTTGTTTATATACTGTTTATCACAATTATATGTCTTATATAATATTATGAACTAATTTGCATATAATTTGTTTGTGTGTGTTATGAGTTAAAAGTGATTATTAATTTTATTATATATTTATTTTTTGTCAACAAAAAAATAATAATAAAACAAATTCATATTAAAAAATTACTACTACTACTACTATTGACACACAATTACAATATTGTCAATAAAACAATTAAAAAAATAAATAAAAAATTAAATAGAGTTTACAAAAAATATGTAACTTTAGAAAACATATATAAAGACAATTTAATTTGAAATAATCATTATTAGTTTAATTCAATCAATCAATTAATTAAATATTTATTTATGAATAGAAACTTATTAATTATATTATATTATTTAAAAACGTAATTTAAATAGTTATTAAATAATCCATTGTATAAAATAAGATACATTTTTGAATATATATTTTAAAATAATGCTTAAAGTAAGTGGATATGGATTTTCTATATAATTAATTAATTAATTATTATAATAAAAAAAAAACTTAATAATAATAACTTTTTTTAAACTCCTTGTGCTTATTTCATATACCCAGTTATCCATAGCTACTGTACTACTACTATCGCTAGTCCTAAACTCCTATGGCTGGCCTCAACGTGGTGGCGGTGGCGGTGGTATGGGCTCCCGGAGCTGGCCTATGATGAACAACAATGGGATGACAATGGGTGGTAACGGTGGTGGTGGTGGCGGCGGCGGAGGTATGGGAGACATGGCCGGTATGATGGGTATGATGGGTGGTATGCCACTGGCTGTACTAAGCCAGCGAGATATCGCCGAAATACCTGTCCAATCGCAAGGCGGTCCCATTGAACCGACCGTACTGGACATCCAGCCAGTCGATCTACCCGTCCAAATGAACTGGATGTCCCAGTCGTCAACACTGGACATAGCTCAGCGACATTTCAGTCGTCCAGGCAGTGTCCAACAGGATCAGGTAATGGACGAACCGCACCGTATGATCCAGCAGGTCCTCCGGCCTATCGTACAGGATGTACGCGAAATAATAGTACCGGCCAGGAATGTCATCCAACAGATACTGCCCGTCCAGGAAAACGTACAGACAGTTCTGGCCAGAGGTCAGGGAGGACGCGGTAGTGGTATGGCTGACGCTATGGGTGGTATGGCTGGCGGCGGAAACGGTATGATGAGAGGTATGGAAAGCCAGCAGCAAACTAGCGGAACATTGGCCGATATGATGGGAATGGGAGCTATGATGGGTGCTGGTGGTGGTCAACAACAAAATATGGGTGCTCTGGGAGGTATGACAGCTATGGGAGGTATGGGTACTAGTGGTGGTGCTGGTGCTGGAGGATGGGGTAATCAATGGTATAGCGGTGCTAACGGTGGCGGATATTATAATAATAATAAAAAACAACATAAACGAAGATTTTAATAATTTTGTTGTTTTTTGGTTAAAAAAATTGCTAATTGGCTGACTATAGGGGGAACGGTAGACTAATATTAATATTATTATTATTATTAGATACATGTGCCAATTATCATAATTATTTTGGTAAATATATATATATTAAAAAAAAAATACTATTTCATTATTATAAGCATATTAAAAAATAATATTATATAATATTTAAAAAAAAATTATGTTTATTTATAATTAAATTACATTAATATTTTTTAATCATTTAAATTGATTTTATTGTTTGTTTGTATTAATTGCAGAGTTTATACATTATATTATTTTTATTATAAAAAAACAAATTGTATTACATTTTTTTATATCAATTTAAATAAAAATTTTTCATGCATTTGTATTATTATATTAATATTTTTTAGACTAATATTATTAATAAATATTTTTTTGGATAATTTTAGTAATACTTAATTATTTTCTGATTAGTTTAATAATTATAATTTTTTGAAACTAAATATAATGTAAAATATAATCATTTAAAAAAATATTATAGTAATACAGTTTAGTAAACATTTATTATATATATATATTTTTTTGTTTATTTAGTAACTTAAAACTTTATACATAAATTTGTTATTAATTAAAATACAAAATAATAATAAATTATAATAAATTTTTCTCATTTTTAATTAATAATCTTAATTCAAGGACTTATATATATACTAAACTAATTTATATACTATTTTTACGGTATATATATATATATATAAAGTATATAATAAAATTTAGCATTAGTACAGTATATTAAATATTTTTTAAAATAATAATAAAACTGATTAATAATGACACTGTAATAACATTTTATCAGATAATCTACATATAAATAATTTATGTATTAGTATAATGTGTGGCAAGCAATCAATAACAACTACATTTGATAGTATTATGTAATATTCATTAGTATTTCAATATATTTGTTTTATACATTATATTTAAATTAAAAAAAATTATATATATATATATATATAATTTTATATAAAAAAAAATCTTATCAATGATTACAATACATATTTAGCAAAAATTAATAGCACATACACACACACACACATACACACATACATACATACATACATACATATACATGATTACATACACATATGCATACATACACACACATATACACATAAACACACATACATACACACACATATATATATACATACACACATACACACACATACAGTATATATATACATACACACATACACACACACAGTTTTTTTTTAAATCACTAATAAGTGTATAAATTTTGTTTTCAAATAAAAAAAATTAAATAAAAATAAACCAAAAATCATTATTAATTAAAAATAAACTTAATTTAGTGTTAAGTAAAAAATATATATATTAAATATTAAGCTAAAACTGTATCAATCAATTTGCGGTGTTTCAGCAATCAGATAGCAATTTTTGTTATTATTATTATTATTAGTAAATTAAATACAAAAAAAACACATTTTTCAACATAAAAATAAATAAAACTTTTTTAGTTTTCTTAATAACATTGTATTTAATATATTTAACTGAAAATTTTTGTAAAATATTTTTTTAAGGGTGTAAATAAAGTTGCAAAATTATTTATTTAATTTTTTATTTAGTATTATTTACATAAAAATTTGAAAATAATTATAATAATAATAATAAAAAATAGTTGTTTTTTTATTGATTATTGAAAAATAATTTTAATTTTTGGTAAAAACATTGATTACAGTAAAGTTTTTTGGTGAGTATATATAAACTCAACTATCAGTCTCTTAAATGGACAGTTAGTTTTTGGGATAGCAAACTATTCTGAGTTTTCATATTATAAATACTGTATATATATTATAATATTTTATATACTATACTATATATTAAAGATAATTAAAAATTTTAGTCAAAAAAAATGTTTAAAGTAAGTGTTAAATGTTTGTGAAAAAAAATTAATTAATTAATTAATTAAAATTTTAATTAATAATTGTATTTTCAATAATTTCATAGCTATTGATCGTAGCACTGGTAGCCTATCACTGTCAGGCCAGCAGTTATAGCAGCAGTTGGTCGGACAACAGTGGCCTCCGATTGATCGGCAGTGGTTACGGCGGTGGTTACGGTGGTGGCGACCGATGGGGAAGTAGTAGTAGTAGTCATAACATACCGTTGGCCGTACAAAGTCATCGCTCGCTGGATGTAATACCTGTCCATTCATCCGGTTCGCGGGCATCGACTACCGTCGTCGACATCGATCCGGTCGACTTACCCGTCGAATTGAATTTCCTGACCAAATCATCATCGCTACGAACCAATCAGCGACACATTAGCCGTCCGGGTTCCGTACAACACCAGTCCACAGTTGACGGCACTCATCGGCTCATACAGGAGATCATCAGACCCGTACAGCAGGAGGTTCGGGAAATTATCGTACCCAGCCGTAGCATTGTCCAGGAAATCCGACCCGTCCAGGAATCGGTACGTACAGTAGTGGCCAGAGGCGAGCGCAACAACAACGGCGGCGGTTTGGATGGTGGACTAGGAGATGGTGGACTGGGAGGCGGGTTAGGACTGGGACGTGGTCTCGGTGGTGGTGATGATGATGGTTTGGGCGGTAACCGCGGCGGTTACGGTAGAGGTTTAGGTGGCGGCAAACTGTTGTCACTTGATTTGGGTGGTGGTGGTGGCAGCGGTTCGGGTAGATATGGCTCAAAATGGTAATAATTATTAGTAGTTTTTTAAATAAAAATAAAAACTATATAAGTCTGACCTCCCTTTCCATACAATTTTGTCTATTGATATAAACATTTTGTTTTTGTTTCTCCCTCATTGTGTATATATATATATAGATTTATTGTAGAAATATCTATATTGATATAGATTTTATTGTTTGTATAGTTTTAAATTAGTTTTAAAAAAACTTCAAAATTATTATTTTTATTAAATGTAAATAATGACTAAATTCAACATTTATATCATAATATATATATATATATATTGTGGTAAATTAATTACAATTTTGTATTGATATAATAATACTGTACTTATTTTTATTTGTAAAGTTTTATTTACAATTAAGCAAAAAATAAAATAAATAAATAAATATTTTTTATTTTGTGTTTTAACGGTATAAATGTGTTAAAAAATTCATTTTCCGCTATTATTTTCAGCGAAAAAAAATAAATAAATATTTTTATATAACATTTTAGTGAATATGTTATGATTTTTACATTCAAAAAAAATTTTTGTTTTTAGTTAAAATACATATAATTAGGTCATTAATAATAAATAAATATTTTGTCAAACATTATTATTATTATTATTATGAATAAACTTGATTTTTATCGATACTTATAATTTTAATACTTTCTAAAACATTATATATATATATTTTTGTTAACATTATTAATATATTATTGATTAATAATATTTTATAGTTTATAAGTTTTAATTTTATTTTTATTTTTTGACCATAATTTAACTATTGATACAAAAAAATTTTACACACACACACTATAAAGATTAGAGGTTAATAAAAAATAATTAAAAAATATATATATAATGATTTAATTAATTAATTATTATTTATTTGTGTTTAAACTTATTAAAAAAAATCAGCATGATGCAATTTGACCCAAAAGTTGCACGTGTATTTTAATTTATTTTAATAAAATAATTAAAAAAAATAATAATATAAAATTATACATAAAATACTAATAAGTTTAAATTAAAAATTAAAATTATTGAGTTTAATTTAATTTATTTATTTTTTTTGTATTAAACAATTTAAAGCTTAATTTATAAATAAATACTACATATATATATAAAGTTATTTACTATAATTAATTACATACTAATTAGATTAAACTTATTATTTAAAATAATTGAAAATAATATTAATTAAATTTGGAAATTTAATTAATATTAAAAATTACACATATGTGTGTGTGATATTAACATTAAAAATCATTATTATTTTTTTGGATAAAAAATAAATTATTTGATTTAAAATAATTTTAATTATATATGTTATTTTTAAATTCAAAAAAAATTATATATATAATTAAAATTTTTAGCATGGTACAATTGTAAATTTATTACAAAATCTATCCAATATTTGATTCATTTCCCTTATAGTATAGTAAAGTTTTCTTATATGTCGTATCCAATCATCACTATCAGGATTAACAGCAGCAGCACCGGTAGTAGTAGTAGTAGTAGTATTGATAGCACCGGTAGTATTAGCCATAGTAGTAGTTGTACTTATCTTACGTAATCTGTTCATCCGATCGGTGGTCTCATCGGACAGTTTACCGACAAACCGATGGCTCATATTCCACATTAGAGGATAAAAATATAGCCGACGCCTGACACTGGCATTATAGGCACGTTTGACCCGACGATCCAATCGTTTCAGTGATACCAGTCCTTTCAGACCATATTTTTCATAATTTTCATATAACTTATTGTTATTATTATTATTTTTATTGTAATAATAATTTTTTTTACGCTTATTATATGATTTTATTTTATTAAAATTATTATTATTAGTATAATCGCTATTTTGATAATTATTGTTTGATTTTTTGTAAGCAATTTGTTTATTATTATTATTATCATAATTATGATGATCGACAAAATTAATTATTTCCCATTGTTTACTACTATCACCAATAGGACTGGTAGTAGTAGTACACGAGCACTGGACAACATTACCACTACCTCCCGGTGCTGGACCTAAAATAGTTTGGCACACAATCACTAACAATATTATTGAAAACAGTTTATTATTATTATTAATAAATGTTGTGTTAAAATCACATTTATTAGTTAGTAGATTCATCAATATATTAATAATTTATTTATTTTTTTAATTAATTAATTAATTAATTAATTAATTAATTATTAATAATTTTATTATTATTATTAAGCATCTTATTATTTAAAACAATAATAATATAACAAACATTTATTTTCAAATTATTATTATTAATAATAATAATTTATATAACAATTAAATAAATAGAAATATATTATATTTTATATTAATTATATTATGTATTTTAAAATATTATAAATAATCAATCATAATAATATAATATTATAAATATTTATATTATATACATATATTATATAATCAATAATATTTTTTATTTTATAACATTATTTTATATATATTTAATATTTATTATTGTAATAAAAACTCGGAAAATGTTTTTATAAAAAAATTCAGATAAAATAATAATAATAATATTATTATTATTATTAAAACAATTACTAAATTGGGTGGTACCTACTTTGTCTACTACCTATCCCTACCTACCAGTGCTTTATTATAAAAATATAATTTGACAAATGAAATAAAAAAAACCAAACAAACAAACAAATAAACACAAAACAAAAATTCATATATAATTTATTTTATTTGCATTAGTCTCACGTGTGTAGACTGTATTTCACTTTCAATATACGGTATATTAAATTATATAAATATTGCAAAAAATCATTCAATAAATTACTATTAATTTTTGTTTTGTTTTCAGATAATTGTTTTTTTGTTAAGTCAACTATAAATAATTTTTTCATATTTATACAACAAAATGTATATTAACATTGAAATACTCTCTATAAATATATTAATATATATATATATATATATATACTGTAGTGTCAATGAATTGTCGAGTGGGTGTGTGGGTGAGTGTCAAGAGTGAGAGAGAGAGAGAGAGAGGCATTTCAATGGGAAAATAAGTTAACAATCTTGAGGTATGCCTACCTGTCGGGAAAGGGATAGTAATTTATATATATATATATATATATATATATATATATATATATATATATATATATATGTATTGATAATTGCATTGTTGTCTGAAATGCATTTGTAAAACAAAATATTATTTTTTTTTGAAAAAAATATTTACATATTTTTGTTGTTGTATTAATATATAGTATATACAGTATATTGTTTATACTAGTATTTTAATAACATTGAAAAATAGTGACTATTGATTATATAATATTATTTTATTTTTTTCAATTGACAATTTGTATGCATATATACTGTAGTTTAGATATATGCATTTAAAACATTTTACCTTGAACCCTTAATTATAGTTTATTATTTTATTGCATACACATAAAATGTTTAATTGCATTTTATTTTAGTAATAATTCAAACTAACTTAAACTTATTATTATTATTATTATTATTAATGATATTATTAAAAAAATTAATTTCTATGCATATGTTAAATTAATTTTCAACTATAAAAAATATTAAGTGTTAATTGTATAGTAAATAGTATTTTAAAAAGTGTGGTTTTAATTACTATTAATAATATATTGTTTAAAACTATGTATGTATAACATTGTATAATAATTATATATATATATAAATTATTTCATATATATATATATATATATATAAATATATTATATTATACATATATATTCATAGGATATATAAATACATAAATATTATGCAAATAATGTTATTTCAAGTGTATCTAAATATATTAATTTTGGTGACAATGTGTTTAAGTTTGTGTCAATAAATTTTTGGTTAATTTTTTTTTTGTATAAAA